GTCCTTCTCAACTCTGGTCTCCCTTCCAGGCACTGTATCACAGTCATGAAAATATATATGCTTAAACAATAATCCAGATAATTTTCTCTCCACTCATTCTTTTGGTTATAAAAACCCAACTCCAATCCTGGAGAGATGTTATCCTAAGTGCTATAATATTGTTGCCAACTAATCAAAATGATGCTGAGACTGATTTTTTTCAAATATAGTCCGTATTGTTGTTCATAAAGACTTAAGGGAGTTTTTCATTTGTCAAAATAATGTATTAATCTGGTTCACATAAAGTTATCAAATTTAGAGATAATTACAACTGAAGCTAGGAAGATTTATGACAAAATGTCAGACTCCATCAATAAAAGGACCTAAATGCCAATGAGTTACAATTACTATAACTTAGGGACAGTTTCTAAACTTACCTGTTGTATTTTTTGATTGTATACATTCTTTGATTAAAGTTTATTGTTGCCTAAAAGGTGCCAAACCCAAGGCATCATACAGATGAAATCAATAATACATTAGATTCTTTTTAGATTCTTTTTAATGGAATCCATCAGACCTTGTTCAGAGAGAGTTATATGATATATATTGAGGCCTTAACTATACTCAGTGAGCTTTAAATGACATTGCAGCTGATCTGTCTCCTAAATAAAAAATAAAAATAAAAAATAAAATTAATGAGACAGGACGTCCTCCAAAATTGGATGGCATTAGACATTCTAACAGCAGCAAGGGGGGTACCTATGTGATTATAAAAACTAAATACTGTGTGTACATTTCTGATTGTTCTGCTAATATCTCAATAGCTATTCAAGATATTAGATAACGAGGGTCTGGGGATTTAGCTCAGCGGCATACAAAAAGGAAAAAGACAAAAGAAAAGGATATTAGACAACAAATTAATAACATATCTGACTCTAAAATTCCCTGGACCTTATCTTTTTCTTCATTGTGGAAAGCCATTACTGGCTCCTCTTGGTGAAAATCTTTGTTAACTATCCTCATAATTATCTTGTTGGTTCTATTATTTGGCCCATGCATACTTAATTGTTTCTTTGGCTTTGTCTCCTCTAGACTTAAAGCTGTACGCACACGCAAGATAAAAATGCCTGGTGTCTGCAGAATTATCTCTGACTGCTGTTCAACCACTATGACCCACTTCAGTCTAAAGAAGCAGCCTAAAGAAGCCAATCATCACCCATTTTCCTTCAAGTTCGGATTACTTCTTCAGAGGGGAGAATGTTACAGGCAGCTGAATTAGTTAAAAATACTATAGGCAGTCAGACAGGGCTGGGCCCTCTATGGAGCCGGAGCAGAAGTTCAGATACCTTGCGGCCTTGGAAGAGACAATCATCTCCTGCTGTGGGCCAGATCTCAAGACAAAAGGCAAAGCAAATACACCCATGCCCTAAGGATCCACAGTCCAAATAGTTCTCTATCACCCTGAGTAAGTCAGGAGTCAGCATCCCACCCCCAAAAGGAAGTCACTGCTGTTAAGCCTGCCTGCTTACTACATGACTTGCTCCCCCATTGGCTCCTAATTTAATCAATTTTACCTGAGCTATAAGTCTTATTGGTTGACCACACTTCTGTCCTGCTTTGCAAATTCTCATTTTTCCCCATCTTTGACCCATTTAACCTCATGATTTTTATAGAAGTCCTTGAAAAAGACAGTCCCTGGCAACCCACTCGGAACCCCTCTGTCTTTCAGACAGAAGCTTTCTTTCTCTCAATAAATATATTCTACTCTTAACCTCCGTTGTTCCTAAAATGCAATTTTAGTAAACACAAAGAAGTTACACCAGGTATATAAGTAGGTCAGGAATTTCATTCCCTTATTTCTTTTTTTTTTTTTTACCTTTTTCATCGGTACCGGGGATCAAACTCATGACCGCCTGCTTACAAGGCAGGTGCTTATGCCACTGAGCTAAACCCCCAGCCCCTATTCCCATATTTCAAAAGCAAACAAATGGTGGCCCGAGGCCTAGGGAAAGGTGATGGAGGTAAGGAAACTCCATAGTCAGAACACAGGAAACCTTAGTGCTCTCAGGGTAGAAGTTTTGGCCACCATCAAAGGTCACCCATTAGACAGTATGCAGGCCCAACGGGAGGGTCCATGTTCCAGCCACTTGGAGCTGCCTTCCTGACCCTGAAAAACAATGCAGGCAGCCGTGGGCATCATGACCTGTGTTTCAGGATTGTCATCTATGGCAAAGCCCATGGCGGTGTGCTACTTAGCTACCAGGCCTCTAAAATTGGTGATGAATGCAATCAAATACAAGCAAGTGAAGCTAGAGGGTTCACTGAGTTTTTCCTTGGTCTCCATTTCATAGCTCAGTGCGGGGTGAATCCAGAGACTCCTGTCCTAGGAATGGGCAACAAGTGTTGATTTCTTCAGGGCAATGTTCAAAGAAAATGTTAATTTTCAAAACTTCTTTGGAAGTCATTTTCAGGGGATATGATATTTGTTAATGTTTACAAATGTTTTAAAAGAAGGCTGCGGATTGGTAAAAGCACAGTTCTTAGGGAAAACGTCTCCATCTAATTCCTCCACATAGGAGGCGGCTCCCTTTGTATCTGTGTTTTCACTTGCAAAATGCAAGGCTGATCTTTGAATGTTGTCTCTAACTAGGTTTCAAGAAGCTTGAGAGCCTGAGGGTGATCCTGACCAGGAGGCTAGCTGTAGACAGTGGGCAGGACTGGGGGGGGGGGGCAGTTATTGCAGAATCTTGCCAGTGGGGAAAAACTTAAAATAAATATCCGGAAAGTGTCAAAGAAGCTTTCTGAGGAATGTTCCTATTTCTTTGTGTGTGTGTGCTGGGGATTAAACTCACGACCTTGTGCTTGCCAGGCAGGCACTTGTACCTCTGAGCTAAACCCTCAGCCCTTCTTTAAAAAATCTTGACACAAACATTTCTTCTATTTTTTTTTTTTTTTTTATTTATTGTGCTGGGAATCAAACCAAGGGGCTAGTATACGCTAATCAAAGCTTCATATTTAAAAAAAATTGGGGTTTTTTTTTCTCTTTTTTTTTTCCTTTCCTTTTCCTTTTCCTTTCTTTCTTTCTTTCTTTCTTTCTTTCTTTCTTTCTTTCTTTCTTTCTCTTCTCTTCTCTTCTCTTCTCTTCTCTTCTCTTTCTCCTCCTCCTTCCTCCTCCCCCTCCTCCTTCCCTTCCTCCTCCTCCTCCCCCTCCTCCTCCGCCTTCCTGGCAAGGTCTTGCTGTGTAGTTCAGGCTGTTCTTGAACTTTCTATGTAGCCTAGGCTGGCTTCCATTCTCAGAGCTCCTCCTGCCTCAGCTTCCTGAGTGCTGAGATTACAGGTGTGCACCACCACACTTGGCTAAATTTTTTCTTTTTTTTTTTTTAGACTGAAGGTGACTCTGAAGCATATTTCTTCACGTAGAGCAGGGCTATGGCTGGAGCAGACCTACCTACTAATTACAAGAGAGCTACTTTATTAATATGGAATAATTCCTGGGGCTTCTATCCTGGTTTGTCTGATCCTCACCCTATTAGTTGTTTATTTAGCAAACACTCATCATTCAAAATTCTCTGAATATCTTAATCTGATAGTTTGAAGTTCATCTTTGCATGATGACATAATCCCTCAAGAGAGCAAAAAGGTCCAGGTCTTTAATCTCAAAAGAAAACAATAAGGGGCTGGGGATTTAGCTCAGCAGCATAAGCGCCTGCCTTGCAAGCAGGCAGTCGTGAGTTCGATCCCTAGTACCAATGAAAACGAAAAAGACAAAAACAAACAAACAAACAAACAATAAAAGCAGATGTCATTGGTTAAGAGTCCAGTGGATCATAGCATTTCACAGTGTGTACCAGTATCAGGGGAAAGGAGCTTTGTGTGTCACTGTAAACTGATTAAACTCTAAATTTCCATAATTAAACCTCTCCCAAATACAAATGGGTCTAAATGAAAGTCTTTTTTATTTTCTATTTTTTACTTGAGAATCAGTTTCTCTAAGGTCAAAGTTCTGGCCACCACACAAGTTAGAAGACCAAAAAGGCTGTCATTTTGCTCATGGTTGGAAGGCAGCATTACAGAGCCAAGGAGGTGGTAGAGAAAGAACTTTATTGACAATACGGTTCTGGCCCGAAAGTGTCTCCCTCCCCCCAGACAGGGTTTTACTCTGCAGTTTGGGCTGGAGGCGAACTCACAGAGATCTCTCTGCCTCAGCCTCATAGGCCCTTGCCACCACACCGGGCAGGGTCTCCTCTTATGGAACTCTGAGCTAGGGGTGGTTTTGATAAAGGAGAATTTTTTTTGTAAAGGGTGTTGGTGAGTGGCCAGCTGGAGATTTGCATCCAAATGACACATTTTCGTGGCCACATTCTTCAGATCTGGAGAACAAAGATTATTTCCTCGGGCTGCTGTCACTAATCAAGAGCAAGCATCTTTGTTTTCTCCAGCGACCCTCTCACTGTTTCCTCGCAGCTCCGGCAAATCACACAGGACACAGGGTGACCTGTCCCCAGGCCATCAAACTCCTGGTGTGTGGAAGACTTCACCCAGTGATTGTGCAAGCCAGGGTGTCAAAAGTTAAACAGGGACTGGCAGGCGACCGGTGCCATCACAGAACCCGTCCTGCGGGACCCACAGAGGACGGCTGTCCTCTTGGGAACAGCAGGGACTTTCCTTTAGACACACTGTTCGCTGTCGGTTTTAGACGACAGTCCTCTAGTCTTCACCAGAAAGCACGCGGGGGAGCTGTCTCTTCTCGGGCGCACCTCGGTCTCCTTCCCGGCGAGGTCACCAGTTCGCTCATCTTTCCTGGGAGGAGGGGTCCAGCCTGAGTGAGGAGCTGCACCGGGCTGCTCGGTGCCCGGACGCCTGCGGCTTGCAGACTCGGGTCTGGCGCTGCACCTGGGCTCTCAGAGCTTCGGGAAGGCGAGGGGGCGGAGCTAACACATGACGTCAAGCGGTTGTGGCCAATGGGAGCGCCCGGAGGCGCCGCCGCCGAGCCTTCGGCTTATAAAAGGGCGGCACTGCCAATCTCTCCAGCCACTGTCACCCTGGCTTCCTAGCGCGCCACCTGCGGGCGGCTCCTTTCTTCAGGTGCCTCGGACCACAGGTCGCTGCCCGCGACCGTGCGGCGCCCCTGGGTCTCTCCCGAGAAGAACTCGCGGGTCCATGGAGCAGGGCCCGGGCCCGGCCCCGGCCGAGAAGCCGCAGGGGGCGCGGTGCAGTAACGGGTTCCCCGAGGCGCGGGGCGCGCCGGCCGCCGACGGCTGGAAGGGCGAGCGGCCGCGCAGCCTGGAGGACGAGGCGCTGAGCCTGCCGGCGCTGGCCGCCGCCTACGCGTCCATCCTGCGCGCGCTGGGCGAGGACCCGCAGCGCCAGGGGCTGCTCAAGACGCCCTGGCGCGCGGCCACGGCCATGCAGTTCTTCACCAAGGGCTACCAGGAGACCATCTCAGGTTGGTGCGAGGACTCACGCGGGGACGCGCGGGGCACTCGGGGACACGCGGGAGGTGGCTGCGGGGACTTCCCGGAGTTGCCCCACGATGGGCGGAGGTGGCCGTGCGCTGCTGTCACCTTCCCACCCCGCCCTCGGCGCTGGCCCGCGGCCCGGAACTGGGGGGGCAGTGACCTCTGCACCCTGCCCCGCCCCCCTCTGCACCCGGGCGGATCGCTGTCCCTGGACGCCCCAGCCTGGGGGACCCTAACCTTCAGGAGAACTGGGAGAGATGTCCCGACCTCGTGTGCTCTCGGCACCCCGGGGATCCCACACCTGCACCCGGCTCCCTTGCCTGGGGACTGGGGTCTTCCGAGAGGGTAGTTCTTTTTTTATCCTAAACTTAAAAGGAAAACTTTTAAGTTTTCCTCCAGCTCGGGACTTCTCCGAAATTTGGCAGACTTAAGGGCGCGGGCTTCCCCAGAGCTGGAGGTGTGCGGTTGCTTGGGATCGGTTACGGCTAGGAGCCTCCTCCTCCTTCTGACTCTAAAGAAAGCCAGCGCCGTTTGCTGCTGCTCCACGGCGCGCTCCCCAGGTCCGAGGGGCGGTGGCGGCGGGGGGTGCAGAGGCCCGGTGAAGGCGGTGGAAGGACTGAGTCTTGCTGCCCGCGTGTGGGGCGATCAAGGTTGCCCTTCTTATTCTTGGTATTGGAGATCACAGCCAGGGCCTGGCCCTGGACCTCTGACCTTCATCTCCAGCCCAGCTCCTTATTTTTAAAAACGTGGCTTCTCCGGCTGGGATTGCAGTCACTGCCTCAAGTCCCCACCTTCTGGGCGTCTTGGCGCCCCGGATTTCTTTGGCTGGAGAAGCCTTCTGCCTTCCCCGCGTGCCCTAGACAAACAGTGCCGCCCCTCAGACAAGCCTCCCTGTCATTTCCCTGAAAGCAGCGAGCAGCTCGGGAAACTCCTGCTGGGAGGAACTGAGTTATTTCTGCCCACTTCCGCACCCCAAAGGAAGGGTGGGAAGAGGAAATGACACTCTGAAAACCAAGAAATAGAGTTCATTTTTTAAAACTTCTTGACAGCACAAGTTTGTAGTCTCAAAAACAGAATTTCAGAATGCAAAACTAGAAAATAATCACTCCATTTCGTTTGTTTGTTTGACACAGGGTCTCCCTATGTAGTTCAAGCTGATCTTGAACTTGAGGCGACCCCTCCTGCCTCAGCCTCCTGAGTGCTGGGTTTGCAGGTGTGCACCACCACACCAGAGCAGTCGCTCGGTTTTCTGCATTCACTTATTAGGAGGGTTGGCTGGTTTAATGATGTTCCCGGATGTAACAGAGAGGGATCTTACTGGCCTTACACATTCTGCTTCTTGTGGGTATCCAAGGTGGATGCCTCTTCATTGAGAGTGATCTCTAACCTAGCAGTGACTCCAGGAAAGAGGGAATTCTTGCCTCGGGCAGGTTACAAAATAAACTTAAGTGGTCACAGGTTTGCTGGAGAAAAATCACCAATGTCTCTTAGGCCTGGAAGTTTAGCTACGAGGTCTAAGCTTCATTCCCTGCTAGAAAAGCCTTCTGAGCAGCCACAAGTATTATTTTAAAGTTCATGGCCCTAGAGACAGAAAGCAGATTCGTGTATGTCAGCTAGGAAAGAGGGGAGCCCAGGGAGGGACTGCTGAGTGGATGCGGGGTTTTCTTTTAGGGTGATGAAAGTGTTGGTAACAGTTGCCTGGCACTGTGTCAATGATTTGGACTTCCGATAGCCAAGATAAGGAGCTTTATATTTTACCACTGTAAAAAGTACGGGGACCGTTGAAGATTAGAAGCAGCTCAGAATCGGGCTTTGTGCTGGGCTCAGTGCGTTACGTGGATGCTCCTGCTTACTCCTCATCTTCATGGTGGGGAAACTGAGGCAGTGGTTTGCAGTGCACACAGGTGGTAGCTGGGCGGCCTGCCTGCTGCTCTTAGTTGCTTGTTCATGTGCAGCACCTCCACGGAGGATGCCTTTAAAAAATACACCATTAAAAAAGACAAGGAACAGAATGGCTAAGACCAGTTTGTCACGTGTAATGAGATGGAGCAGTAAGTCTGTTTTGTTGGTTTGCCATCCTGGAGATTAAACTCGGACAAACTATCACTGAGCTACATTTCCCCAGCCTGTTTTATCTTGCTTATTTATTTATTTGGTTTTTTGATACAGGGATTCTATGTAGCTCAGACTGGCCTGAAATTTGTAGTCATCTCCATTCCTCCTCCTATCTTTTGTTTTGCTCTTTACTTAATATTAGGATCTCCAGTTGTATCCATTTCCCTACAAATGACTCATGTTTATCCTTCTTTGGGGCAGAGTAGTACTCCACTGTGTGTAAATGCTGCATTTTCTTTATCCATGCATCTGTGGATAGATACCTGGGCCACTTTGAAGAGTTAGCTGTTGTGAATTGTGCTGCTATAAACACGTGCATGTGTGGATCTCTCAATACGATGTCTTTAATTCTTTGGGGAAGATACCTAGAAGGGGAATAACTGGGTCAAATGGAATTTCTAGTTTTAGTTTTTTGCTTTTTTTTTGTCTTTTTCGTTTTTATTGGTACCAGGGATCAAACTCATGACCACACACTTGCAAGGAAGGCGCGTATGCCGCTGAGCTAAATCCCCAGCCCCCTAGTTTTAGTTTTTTGAGGAGACTTCAGGGCTGATTTCCATAGTGATTTTACTCCCAGCAACAATGTAGAAGTATCTTTCCCTACAGCCTGGCTAGCATTTGTTACTAATTTTTTTGACGATGGCCATTCTTCCTGGAGTCAGATGAAATCTTAGGGTTGTTTTAATTTTTTTTTTTTTTTGAGACAAGGTCTTGCTATGTTGCGCAGGGTGGCCTTAAACATGTAGTGATCCTCCTGCCTCAGCCTCCCAAGTGCTAAGATTATTGGTATATACCACCAGCTTAATTTGTATTTTTCGAATAGCCAGCAGCATGGAGCATTTTTTCATGTACTTCTTGATCATTTTTACTTCTGAGAAGTGTTTATTCATTTCAGTTGCCATTTTTTGATTGGGCCTTTTATTTTTGGGGGAAGGGGTCTAAGCTTTTTAGGTCTTTATATATTCTTGGTAATAGTCTTCTGTCTGAGGCATTTTCTTACTTTTTAAATTTTATTTTATGCAGTGTGGGGGAGTAAGCCACAGGCCTTTGCACTGAAGTACGTCCCCAGCCCCTTTTTACTTTCTGTTTCATTTCATTTTGTGACAAGTCTTGCTCAATCACTAAGTTGCCCATGCTGGGCTCGAACTTGTAACCCTCTTGCCTTCTTTTCCTAGGGTGCATTGCCACACCTGGCTTATGTGTTGAGAGAGGGTCTTGTTAAGTGGCCCAGGCCGCCCTTGAACTTGGCGATCTTCCTGCCTCAGGCTTCCCAGTAGCTGAGTTCCCAGGGCTGTGGAGCTGTGGCTGGCTAGGATGAGTGTGCCAGGGAACTGCTCTGCAGGTTTTACAGGTACAGTGTACATGTGTGCATGTGCGCGCGCGTGTGTGTGTGTGTGTGTGTGTGTGTGTGTGCGCGTGCACACATTTCTCACCATGGATAGTGGAAAGTTTGCAGGCCTACATGTAAGGGCTCACTCATACGCAAGGATTCACTGTTGAGGGTCCTTCTTTTAAGAGCTCTAACTAGTGGGACAATAGCAGAGGGTACGGCTCGGGTGGCCCCGATCGTGAAGGAATGAGCCTGATATGGTGGCACCTGTGTCATGAGCTCGCCTGGGTGGAGGAGAGAGGGGAGCCTACGGGGGCCTCTTTAGTATTGTAGTAGAGAAAGCATCCTGTCCCCCCCCATTCCTTTTTGGGTAATAGATGGGAACCTATTCTGAAACTTACTTTTCTAAGCCAGTGACCAAGCTCCAGGACTGCCTGCCTTTTGGTTGCTGTGTATTAATCTGGTCACTGGTGTTGGCTTCGGTGGTTGGAAAGCTGTGCTCAAGGTTGGGGTGGTTTTGCTGCTCCCCTTGTGTGGACGGGTGCCACCTGGTGCTCTGAGCTGTTCTTCCCCCTGTGACCTTGGCCTGCCATCCTGTCCCCTGGTGCTGCACCTTACCCTGGAAGCACCACAGTCACAGTGGTCAGGTGTCGTCAGCTGGCCATCCTCCCATTGCTGTTCACAGCTAGCCATAGACAGTGGGCCAGGCGGAAGGTTGCAGCCTTACGCTGGCGCGCTTTCCTCCCTGTTCGGGCTCCTCCTGGGTGCCCTTGGCCATTCTCTGCTTAATTGGGTGTCTAGCGCTGCGGGAGGGCCTTGGTCCTAGTGTGACTGACCCTCCTCATTTCCTGTTCTCTCCCAGGTGTGTGGGGAACAGTCTTGCAGATAGTGTCACTCGCTGCAGGCTGAAGGGTGTAGCATGTCCCATCCATCGATGGTCCTTTAGTGAATTTAGGGGAGCACGCAAGTTTGGGTACTTGTGTTGCATTTCTAGTAGACTAGGTTTCAGCTGGTCTTATCCACGAGGCCAAGACAGTTTTCATAATCCTGGTGACAATGTCTCCAATTTCAGAAGTGCTGTGTACTCCACCTGGTGGGAGGCGACCACACCTGGGGTGACTCAGAAAGCCACACACCCTGGACTTAGCCCCTCTCAGGACAAGATTGTATCTGTTTTCTGCGGTGAATTAGAAACACTGTCAAAAATGGATCTCAGCTGCTTTATACTGAAATGTGCTAGTAGTTACAAAAGGTTTCTCTTTTTGAATCACAAATCGATTTGTTAACTCAGGCTGCGTGGGGACTAAAAGCCTGTCAAATCATTTACTGTCACCTGTCACCGTGTTTTAGGTGAAAGGTGAGTGTGTGTCCCAAGCGCTAAGATAGTTTGTAGAGGAAAGTGTCATCTGAGTAAGAGGTGCTATTAGGGTGTGTGTACCTCACTTAAATCCTGACTCATTAATAATTGCCTTAATTTTGCTAAGACTTTTTCTTGAAAGTTGTCAAAAAGAACAGGGAAAAATAAAGCCATGATTTACGATT